AAAATGAAAATGCATTTTTATTTTCTACAAAAATCATTTCCATCTGAATATTTTTTCTCAGAATAATGAAAATTTTTTTTTTTGTAGAAAAAATACAATAACACTGAAATAAGTCAATGGAAAAATACATCATATTTGGTGACAGAAATTTTTCGATTTATTTTCTTCTTGCAGAATATATATATATATATATATATTTGTCCCTCTTTACTCCAAGAAAGACAGAGAGCAAAAAAATAAATAAGACAAAGAATAAGAGACAGAGAGAAATTTGTGGTACAGACAAAAATAACTGTCAACACTGCTGCTGAAAATTTAACTCAATGAAAAGATTACCATAAGTTGACTTTAGCATTTTATTACTCCAATATAACCGCTGACATAATAATCTAAGGTCTTTTATGGACATTAATGACCTGCGCCATCCTCTTGCATCCATGATAACTTTCACACTGACTTGACAACCTCGATTAAAAGATATTCTTAAGATTCAGTCACGGATTGGCGTGACTATGTTTCCATTTTATATTGCTTATATCACAGACCTTTGTCCTTTCTCCAAGAAAGATATCCGGCATCGATTGCGTTGAATGTATACATATATATGTATATAAAAATGCAAACTTTTTCCCCCTCATTTTTTTCTCATTGCTGATACTTTTCCTTGGATTTCGCCCAGCAAAATAGACTCTAAACGATTGACTCAAGAATCCATAGAATTTTTTCTGGCCTCTCCAAACGGTTTTCTGCTAACAAAAGAATTGGAGATCAATGCCTTCCAAATCTCTGAATAGAATGTGCTGCTAGTCAGTAATTTTTTTTTCTTCTTCTTTTTTTTCTTACTTATAGTATTATTGTTATTATTACTTGTATTGTTTGTATATATTTACTTTTTTCCGGTTGATTTTGATTTTTACTAGTGACCGGCATTTTATCAGTTAGGTGGCCAAGGACAAGATGCTGGAAGAAAGAATGCGAGGTCTAGGGACTTTGGTAGTAGAAGCATTCAAGGTCTTGAGTTTATTTGCTTGAACTGTATAGAAAAGTTGGGCCAATATACACAGCAAGTGGTAGAGAGAAGAATCAAATCTAATCTTGAAGGTTTTTTCGATTCTTAAAAGCTGAGAATAGTTAGGAGTGGAGAAGATGAAGATTCGGATGGCATAAATCCACCGAGATCGTCGGGTGTGTCTCATAGACAAATGGTACCAACAGTGCAGATAGTCGTGTTAGTAAGGTTCAGAGTCTCACTATTCGCTTTATAAATCCCGCTGTGCACCCATACCCCAGGTATATGGACCCATATACCTGGAAGGAACTTGAGGTAGAGCTTCAGTAGACACAACGACCATAGTTAAAAGGATGTAGACGAGCGTCACTACTACTAAGTTGTTTTTTTTTCCCTTTTATAAGTCTCATTCTTGTTGTCACGCGAACACTCAAACGGAATGTCTCTTCCGAAGAAATAAAAAGTGACCCACTTGATTATAGGTGTAAGCCCCAGGTAGTCAAGCTCAAAGAATTGTAAAATAAAACGTCCCTAATCCCACTCAAAATTTGTATTTACGCGTGTTGCTTATTTTTTTTTGTAGCCATTTTCTCAATTCTTTCTGTTTTCATTGTTACAAGTAACGTATTCATTAGGGATTCTCATTATCCGCCATGATGACAGAAAAAATTATTTGAAAAGCACTAAATATTATAGAATTTTTTTAGAAATTTTTTTTTGAAATAAAAGTTATAATATATGACGTCCTTTTCTTTGTTTATAATGATCAATGTCATGGAGTAATGATTTGAGTTAAGGGCTGTTATTTTTTATGTTGCCTTGAAATTTAGGCCTAATCGATGTAGAAAATAGTTTTCGAAAACATTTTTCAGCAATTAGGTAACTTAAAAAAGCTCCGAAGGACGTACATGAAAAATGATTTTTTTATTTACATCTCATCTTTCCCTTTATTATTTTTTTTTACTTTTTTCTACCATAATTTTTTGATTGTTTCGAGATTTTGATTAATGATCATGCAGAAGAAATGTAGGAGGAAAAATGAATGATAGATAAAAATATATTGCCACTCTTATGCGGTAATATTTATGAATAGAAAATAGTTGAGTAAACAAAATAATGTGGTCAGCGAGGGAATATGTTTATTTATTTAAAAAAATACTTTCTCTCCAAAAATAGACTTTTTCTTTTTTTTGAAGACATTGGCAGAAATGATGGCCTTCATTCTTCAATGTTTGACTTTGAAAGGGAGAAAAGGGCGGAAGAAAGAATAAGGACAAGAGAAAAACATCAAGGTCAAAAGCAATGTTGGAACCTCGACCCAAGCCAACACACAATGTCTGCTACATATCGTTAAAGTTCAATTTTATTTTTTCAAAAGTTTGAAAAGTAATTTATTCTCCCTTTTAAAAGGGAGGCCAGCAAATTTCAGTACGGTGTCTCACCTCGACCATTCACCTAATTTTTTTTCTCTTGGTCCGGGTGTTTTCTACCTACTCACAATATACACAAAACTTGGTCCACAGGGAATACAAACTATTCTTGGGATTCGTGGCATAGGCTTTAGTATGAAAGCATATATTTTCCGTTTCACTGTTCACTGTACATGAGAAGCATATCCATTGAAGAACCGCCTGCAGACGCGAAATTCTATTGAGAAGACGAGGGTGCATCTTCTTGCCTGGCAGTCCATAGTGAGGCCCAGGTATAAATTTACGCGGCGGCGGCGACTCTAAAATTGTGCCGACTATATACTATACGACCATATAAAATAACGAGAGATGAGATGAGAAACGAAAAATGTTCTTTTTTCACGGCAATCGGTTATCGAAAACTTTGATCGGTACCGCCCCCAAGACTTGGAAAAAGAATCGAATCATTTTATTTCTTAAATGATTTTTTATCTACATCTGGATAATTTTCTAGAATTATTACTGTTCGATAATGATCGACAAGGAAAGATTTTTAATTGTTTTATCAATCATCTTTTTCCTTATATTTTCCAGAGGAATAAATATAAAATAACTCTGTAGAATAATTTTTTTCGGGGTTTTTTTTTCTTTATCTTCGACCATGTTTTAAGAAAACTTTCGATAACTTTTCGACTTGGTTATTTTTTTTTTTCCAAATTCTGATGCTTGAAATTCGTGTAAGAATTTTTTTCTCCATTTATTTGATCAGATTTGAATCAGGTTTGGGTGTATACATCGGAAGAAGATCGTAAATATTTTTGTTATCAAAATGTACATTCATTTAAATAATTTCGTGAGATAGATAACAAAATGAGCAAATTTAAAGAATTACTTTTTTTGACATTATTTTTTAATAAAGTCGATACTTTATGTTAGTGATAATATGATAATATATATATTTATAATAAACAATTTATGTAGATAGAAAGAAAAAAATTAATATTAAAACTAAAATCTATAAAAATGCATAAACTCCAAAAATAAATTTAAAATTCAATACATTCAATAATTATCTCAATATACATAATTATATTCCATTAAACTCAAGTCATTTAAAATTTGCAATTATGAATACTGCAAATAATAATGAGAATGAAAAAATATAGTAGAATTATTTGCTCATTATATTTCATTGATTAACTCAATTATTTAGCAATATTTTGAGATTAAATATTGACAGGCAGGTGTAAATATTTTTTTTTATGGAAATGAAATTTTATTGCAATGCTTGGTGGAATGTCCTTATCAAACTGTTGAGGTAAATACAGGGTAGATTACAGTTCAAAGATAATATCCATCAAAGGAAACGACATGGGCGAATAAGAGGGGAAAAAAGTAAAAATGAAGAAAAGGTAGTAAGAGAGAAGACGAAAAGGGAAAGAATCATGTGTATAAAGACTTTTATATATATATATATATATATTCTTCATCAGAAGAGCAGAGCAAAAAAATAAATAAATGGTAGGTCGGATGTTTATTCGTTGCGGCAGTAACTCGATTTTTTTCACCACAGGATCAATCACATCCATTCGACGAGAAATATTGCTTTGAAAGATTAAAAAAGGTCTTGAGCGTCCAAGGTGAGACGTTAGTGGTGCTTCTACATGCGTGTTTACGAAATACATGACGTGTGTGTATACACATAGTATATATGTCGGGGATACTCCAAACATTGCGGCAGAAAAAGAAAAACCAAAAAGACATAAAATCAAATCTGCACAGTTAGACACATTACAGTATCCAGAAATCGTCTGAAATCAAGTATAAAACCCAAGCGAATAATAAAATCATATAGTCATGCTCGTAGAATCACAACATAACTCAAGCGCATATTTTTAAGTAGGGGCAAAATAAGCAGCTGCTTCTTTTTTCTTCAACAACTCTGAGCTCTCTATACTCGCATCTGCCCTTTTTCCCAAGTCCATCTCCTTATGAGTACTCGACCTTAGGACGTCGACGTGACGCATTTTCCACACGATCTTTGCTTTCTCTCGATCACTCGGTACAGGTCGACACACCAATCGAATCGAATCAATTCCAACCTGAATTTTTCGAGTACCTACATCACGTTGAAGGCCTCGGGTTATTAACGTTTGCCATGATACAACGCCCACACCTTCTTCAATTTACATTCCATTCAATCTATTATCATTATTTTCTGCTACATCTAAATACTGCGAAAAAAAAACAGTTTTAGATGAATATATATCTCTAAGTCATCGTTATTAAAGTATTATTATAATACCTCGCAATTATTTGCTCATATCATACTTGAATTATTTATTCAATCAAAAATTACAAAGTTGAGTATATTTTTTCTAGCTGCTTTTTTTTTGTATTGATAGTACATGGAGTCAGTTTCAGACTCTCTAGCGATTGGTTTTCAACAAAACTAGTTTTTTTTTAACTACTGATTATTCTCGTAGCTTCAGGATATTTTTAAAAATATAAAATAAAAACCTATTGATTTCACCTTTTATGTTACCACAATAAAAAAATAAATTGTTTATTTATTGTTATAGTGCAGCAGTCAGATTGCAAGGATACAGTTATATTCATTCAGGATAATGTTATCTATTAAGGTTTCAATTAAATATGATCTATGATCTTCGTGATTCGCGTGATTGTCGTGATTCACGTGATAATCGTTATCTCTATGATGATCTTCGTGATGTTAACAGTTAAACTAAAATAATCTAAACCATGAAATTAACTAACTTGTTGACATACTTTCAAGAGAATCCTTCATTATTTAAATTTAATGTATATTTACTAAAAATTTTGTAAAGAATTCATTATACAGCTTAAAAAAAATTTAGCAAAGATTTAAATTAAACAGAAGATAAATTATATCTTAATTCAATGTTTGCTTTGAAGGGTATAATAACATATTCTACTTACAAAAGGTTTTTTTTCCTACAAATATTTGTGTATGATAAGGGATTTTATAATGATTGTGATGAAAAATTTAATTAAATTAATCCTTATTATCAATAGAAAGCTAGAATACCAATTGACTAAAAAGATTGATTGAGTTTAGCAAATGAATAACTTGCAAACATGAGATCAAAGAGATTTTTTTCCTTTTCTATTTACAAAATTTAATTATACAGTACGATTGAATTAATGCAACTAAACATTCTCGAATATTGACATATCATTAATATTCATATAAAATAGATATTCGAAGAATTCAGTGGGCAATGATGATACATTCATCTTATTAAGATCAAACAAAAAATATTTTCATTAAAACTCTTGATGACAAATCAATTTCTTTGATGTCGGTAAAATATTGAAGAATTTCCGAAAAAAATCTATCAATTTGTCATCCAAATATTTCAAACGTCATCATTCAAATTTGTGTAACGTAATTATGCAAATGAACTTGGGATGAATTTTAGTGAAAAAAAAAAAAAAACAAATGGAAAGAAATGTAATTGGTAAGAAACATTGTAAATGGTTGAATGAACAATAGAATATATAAGAACTGATATGAAATAAATATTTAACAAGTAGTTGATAATGTCAAAAAATCTTCTAGATAAAGTACTTAATAATGAATTAAAAAAAAGTTAAAAGAAGCGGTGAAAAAAAGTTGACGTTTGTAGGTATAAAATGTTCTGCCACGTGTGTCGCAGAAAAAGTGAGGCTTGTTTCGCCAATTGAGCTGGCGGTGAGGTGGAACAGATAAGTGGTTAATGTTCAGTTAAAGTGATACGCGACATGCTTTTCGTCAGTGTGCCCGCGAGGGGCTTAATTCTATTCCGTTTTCATGATGATGCGCATCGAAAATTGCAAGGAGGTGCTTATTCACTGAAAGAACATCGAAATGAATTAAGAAAGAAGAAAAAGAGTAAGAGAGAAAGAACGATCAGTGTACGCTGTGTTGAATAACGGTTTTGGTGTAACGTCGAGAGAAATATCCCGAAACGTAAATGCGCCACTCATTACTGAAATATAATGGGTTATTTCAGTCCTCTTCGAATTACCCACTCGACAATGAGGAATTTGATACAAAAAAAACCTTTTGGGTTAGTCCCTTCATCATCATATTCACTCAAGTTTTTCATTCTTTTGTTTGATTATTTTATATTCTGATATTTTTCATAGCATGTTTTAATTAAAAATTTTTATTAATTAATATAATAAGAGTTTAATAAAACAAAAAGCGTATTGAAAAAAAAAAAGGAAGAAAAGCATAGAAAAAGCTTGTGAAAAAGGGAATTTATTAAAATCCATGCAAAATTGATTTAACTAAATTTCATTATATAGTTACGGGGTAGCCAATCATGCGGAGAGGATTGCCACGTTCGTTGTCTACTCATCAATTTCATGTGACAATATTACACGAGTATACAATCATGTAATGATAGCTTCAATCAAATCACTAACTTAATGATACGTATAAAAATGCATGCAAATTAAATGTTTCGCAAACCATTATGAAGAACGTAAAATTTAGCAATTTAAAGACATAAAAGAGTGCATGTTTTATATAGTAGACATTTATATCTCAAGTACAATACTTGTACTTCCGGTTTATATTGGTCTTTAATGTAAGTATACGTTTATAGATGAAAGGTTGAACAGTGGGGTAATAGAAAAAATTAGTATCATTTCTCTTGAAAAATTTCAACTGATTGACAGTCGGTGGATAAGTTGATGTATAAGAATGTATATATAAATATTAAGTACATTTGTGTTATGTAAAATAATGAATAGAAAGTATTTTTTGTTGCTCCAAAGAATGGAGTGAAAGAATGAAAAATAGCAAGGATTTTACCTCGAACAATCAAAAAACAAGTGTTGTTCTTTGCATTCACTTAGTCTTGACTTGGTTTTTGTTATTTAATTCTATAGTTCTTTGACTGCTTTGAAGCGAGATTGAAAGTACATGGTAAAAAGAAAAAAAAATGTATACGGTATAGTTGGAAGGTGATTCACACGACCGAGTACTGAATCGTAAATAAGTTAAAACAGCTACTTTGTGATGTTCATTCTCTAATAAAGCCGCAGGACTTTCAGTAAAACGAATCACAAGTGTAGATTACAAATGAGCTATGATATATACGATACCGTCCTCTCTCTGTTGACTGCTATAATCGCTGCTAACAACCTTTTTTATGTGCTAATGGTGTTAATATAAATTCAATACCTTGTAATAAATGTAAATTTGGGGAGGAAATAAAAATAATGATAAAAATAATTAGTCTTTTACCTCTTTAATGGGTGAAAAAATATCACTGAATAAATATTACTTTTAAAATTACTTAACGTTCCACTTTACCCGTAATTACTTCAAAGATTTACATAGAGATTTACAGGCTGTATCTGATTTATTTATTGGAAATGGTCATTCTCAAAATTAACTCGTGTTAATTCATACATAATTGCTTTTTAACTGAATACCCCTTTTTTTTCATTTAATCTTACTTCACATAATTGATAGTAAGCCTTTCTTTACTGACTAATTTAGAAAATTTAATTTTTCTAACTGTATTTTATTGTTAAGTCTTTTGTAGTTTTCCATTAGACTTTATTCGACAAATTACCGTTAAAAACTACTTTTGTTTTACTTCATTACAAGAATTGAAATATATAAAACGAGTATTTTTTTATCTATTTAACCATTCAATTTCTTTCATTATTAAATTTATGTCAATTTGTATTTCAAAGAACTTCTATTTAATAAATATAAAATTTTTTACATGGTAATTGTTTCACTAAAACAGATTGAGTAATTAACAGAACTGACATTTGCATTATTGACTTTGACATTTTATTAATTTAAGTATTGATCGTAGGATATTTTTAAGAGCTGTCAAAAAGGTAATATAGTCTTAAGTAGACTGTTTAATTATTTGCAGAAATGTTAATCAACTTTTTGCTTTTAATATCAAATGAATTCGTGTGCCAATTAAATACTATGTAAAATTTACACATTTTAAATTTTTTATTCATGAAACCTTCCCACTTTATAAAACTATGGTTATTCGACACAGTACTTATTTTGATTTAGTTTTGATGGTTGTAACAATATATTATTTCTGATTTATTAATCATTCATTACCTTGAAAATATATATTCAATCAATTGAAAATTTCCATTACATTCTACTATTGATTGATTTATAATAAAATTTGTGATAATAAACACAGATATTTTTTTGTATTGAAATTTTTTTTTCTATCAATTTGAAATGTAGTATTATCAAATTAATTTTTTGTTATAAAACAATGACGAATTTTTATTCGTAATATTATTTCATATTTCAATTTTTTTTTTACCCCAAATCAATAAAATTGTTGAATAATATTCAAATGTATATTTTAATTTTTTTTTTTCTTAGTTATTAAACTTTTCTCATCAACTAAATAATTCAGATATTTTTTACTCATTAAAAACTGTTATTTCTGTCGATGTAAAGTTAATTACTATAGAAAAAAGAAAAAATATACTTCAAATGTTGGTGAATATATAAACAACCGCAAAAAATTTATATTCTGTCAGAGTAATTTTTTTCGCCGAATTTTCGATTCAACACTGAATCGAATGTTTTTTTCTGTGTTTATAAAACTTTTTGTTTCTCATACAAAAGGAAGCTAATATAATTCAAGTTTATTCTAAATCTTCATTCGTGTGAATTTTTTTCCTTAAAAAAAAACTCCAATGTTTATTAGCAAAAAGTAATCAAATAATCAGTGGTATTAAATTGTCGGTTTTATCGATTGAAAAGAATTTGAGTAAACACACTTGACCTTCTAGACTGACTCAATAAAATTCCTTATCGCACATTTCAGTGCAAGACCTGCCGCTCCTTGCAAGCATCGAAGTCACCGCAAAAGATTTGCGTTGCTTAGTTTACAATTTTATTATAGTCATGGAAGTGGCAACGTCAACAGAATAAAGAAATTTTTATATAAAAAAGGAGAAAATAAAAAACGCAATGATATACGATATGCTGTGGTATTCAAATAGTTGGAAAATTCCAACTGTAAATGTAAGAAGTTTCTGATGAATGACTTTAGACATTAAACTTACATGGAATTGGTGGTGTTCCAATACATGTTGCTGGTTTTTGCACAATTGCTCACAGTGGATAGTAAAATTGTTTGAAGGCATACGAGTAAAACCAGGGTAATAAGGGACGGGGAAACCATCGTAACAAAGACGACCAGGGGCATAAGAACCGAGTGTGCTACGTTAATCAACACGCGCACCTCTTGCGTCGTCACTCCCACCATTCACCTTCCACTTTTCACCAAAACCAAACTGCCACATTCATAAACACTTGATTACACTCAGTATTAAGTATCCCTTTATTCCAATATGTATGTGTTCTCGATACTAAAATTCCTTGAACGAACTCAGTTATCTTTGTTTCATGACCCAACGTTCATTAAAGTGTGCTCCAAGTTTATTTCTAACTAAACTCTCTTCCTCATTCGCTCCTCTTCTATTAACTTCAAAATTTTTCTAGACTACAAATTAGCGATCAATACTGTTTGAAGCCACTGGAGGGCTATGATAATTACGCCAAGTTCGTTTTAGATTCTTCATTGATG